GGGAAAATGAGGAAAAAAATTTATGGGTTAAAAAAATTTGGGGAAAAATAGAGGAAAAAGAAAGAATGGGGAGTGGTTTATGTGGAGGTTTTTAAGGAATAAATTGTTTTAAAAAATTGAAAAAAAAAAGGGTGAATAATGGAATTAAAATAGGGAGGAAGTTATGAATTTAAGGATTTTTTTATTGGTGGAATATTGGATATAAAGTTTTAGGAGGTGAAATTGGATAGAAAATGTGAGAATTTAGGGGATAAGGAGTAAAAACCTAAATTAGGGGAGCGCTTGGGGTTTCCCAAAACTGTATTCCCGGGAACGCAGGGGGGAGAATACATGATTTATACCCCCTGGAAACCTAGAGGGCTATACCGAATTTGCCACAAAAATCCTTCATGGAAAGAAAAGACTTGGGCCCCCAACGTGCCCACCCCCAAATGAAAAGAGGTGTCACTAGCACGTTAAGAGCCCATACAATAATGTCAGGGGCCCGAGAGTTAACTCCCCCCAGCACAATAAGGGGGATTCCCAAAAACCCCCCGGGCAGTTTTAAAAGCTGGACTGGACAAGCACCAAAAGTCATTCCGGATCAGGGGGGCTGGGGCTCGTACAGGGGGAGACGCAACAGCCTGGTTGATCAGGCTCGTCACCAGGGGGCCGGTCTAGCCCGGGCCGGGGGGGCTTGACCCCCAACCCCCGGGAAAATCCAGGTACACATGCATTTTATGGGAAATGCTGGTTCCACGACTGCTAACAATTTCCCCCATACCCCATCCTCCGTTGCAGCATTCAGTTTTTTTTATACGACCTGGGTTTTTCCCCAATTATAGGACCATAAAACTCAGAAAAACAGTGCTCTCTAGATGTGCTCATAATTCAGCTTCCGCTTGCAACACGACACTTAGGGCAAAAACAGCGAAAAGATTCGTATATAATTTTTACGATAAACAACATCAACTTTTTCCCAGTGCTATGAGGATTATAGTGTCAAATAATGACACTCTTTTTTGGCACTTGACACCCAGCGGGGCAGGTGTTGACACGGGAATACCCTCGCAACAAAAATACCCACTGTGCGTTCAACACTATTATGAAATCAGGGGGGCCCATGGAGCTGTTCCCCACATCTGGGGGTGGCGTGGAGGGCGGCCACGATGTGGCCAGGAATGTGGCCAGGAGATGCGGAAAAGGAGATGTGGCCCGGAAGGGGCCCAAGGGAGATTTGGCCACGGAGATGTGGCCTTTTAGGTGCGGCTACGGATGCAATCTTTTGGTTTTCGATCCTTTGGTCGGCCAACTGTAGTCGTGTGGCACAGGATCGCTGTTTGTTTCTGCTTTCCGATCCCTAGGTGGGCCACGTGAACGGGGGGGGCCAATTACGTGGCCGGGGAGGATTGGTGGGAGGTAGTAGTCTCATGGGGGCCATGGGGAAAAAGTCGTGATAGTAGAGCTGTAAAGGGCCCACGGTGGCCACGTGGCCAGGGATTCGTTTGGGGGAGGTGGGGGCACTAACTTTGGGGGAGGGTGGGGGGCCAACCTTAGAGGGGTGTGGTGGCACAACCTTGAGAGGAGGGGTGGCACTAACTCTTGAGAGAGTGTGGGGCAAAAAATCTTGAGAGGAGTGTGGTGGCCTAACTCTTGAGAGGTTTGTGGTGGACTAACCTTGAGGGGAGTGTGGTGGCACTAACTCTTGAGAGGATGTGGTGGTCTAACAGGCCTCCCAACAAGGCACAGCCTCTTCTTCTTTTCTACCCATTCCAGATTTTGCTGTGTATCTCTGCTTCCTGTTAGTCTTCGGGAAATACTTTTTAGTCTTTCTAGGCATCGTGTGCCAAAAATGTATACAAGGAAAGGCAAAAAAGTGACGGTCCAACGGTAGACAGCTGTCGAGGAAGCGACATACCACAACATTCTTGTGACTTCTAGTCGCACTGACTACATATGGTACCGCAGTCCTTCTACAGTACACTGATGGTTCCCAGTACTATTGGGAAGTCAAACTCAAAAATGCAAAAATAAAAAAAGGAAAAAAATACGTGTGTGGTATTGTTATGACGGGAGCCGCGCTGGTACACGTGGCATAGTTATGACGGGAGCCGCACTGTGACGAAATAGTTATCTTCCTTTTAATTACGATAACTTTTTATCTAATTATCGTACAGACACGGACGCACGTAAAAAATTTTCCGAGTTTGCTCTTTCGTCGTAGATTAACTAAATTTTTTTATGTTTTTATTTTTTGGTAAATTGAGGTCAGATCTGCCTACAGCCCCAGGCCACCGTGACATTAATGATCGTCTCCCGTCCCTGTCACCTACTCCAGTTTGCTTTTAAAAGTCTTCTATTAAAGCTCCCAGTACCTGCGCCTAACCGTCTGATAGTACCCTTCCTAGTATCAGTTGCTAGTACCCGTCTTCGTTCTGTCTCCCAATACCGCTCCTCTGAAGTCTCTGTACCTTCTTAGATCTCTCCCAGTACTGTCCCTCTAACAGTCTGCTTGAACAAGTCTTTAGTATCAGTCTCCAAATACCCTTTACCTACTACCCTCTGCTGTACCCGTTCCCAGTACCGCTGCTAGTACAGGTTGCTAGTACCCGTCTGCTCGTTCATTCTTTAGTATCGTCTCCCCAGTCCTGCACCCCTACCATCTTTTCCAGTCTGTAGTACCCTCTATAGTACCCTTATTGTTAAGTTCCAAGACCTGTTTTACTACCAGCGATAGTACCGCACCTTCCATTTGCAGTACCAGTTTCTATACTAGTCTGTATACCCGTCTTCTTCTACAGTTCGTACATGTCATATGCCAGTTACTATACCAGTCTTTAGTATCAGTCTCCTAGTACCTGGCACCTGCTACCGTCTGTGTACTGTCGCTAGCACCAGTTGCTAGTCCCTCTGAGTACCCGTCTTCTAGTATCAGTCTCCTATACCGGGAAAAAGAAAAGTGTCGGTGTAGCAGGGCATCGAAATGGATGGTGAAACGGGAAATAAGAAACTCAACACCCACAGCTAAGTAAACCCTTTTAGTAATAGCAGATGATACTGGCCAGTTTTGGTATGTTTTAAATTTGGGTTTGGGGTTTTGGGTGATCCACTACATCAAGTGACCCCCAAGAATTTGGAAGTGGGGGGATTTGTACAAGTGTTTTTCCCTTTATGGATATTCCATGTGTAAACCCACCCCCCCCCCTTTTATTCAGTTACACTAATATAATTTATAGTCCACAATTAATTAGTAGTGCCGTACTTGAAGGTGCTATCCAATTTATACTGGTCTCGGATAGATATGGATAAGATTGTGAGGGTCGAGGGGGCCACCTGCAGTGACCACGGGGGGTTTAAAATTTTTTACTGTCTACATGGGGTGACTGCGGTTAAAAAAACCCGTTTTTGTCCCAAAGATTACTCGTATGTATGTAATGTTGAGATACGTACAGATAACACCCCTAGTAAATTTTCCACAGGTGTGGCGATAGGGTGTCAGAACACTTTTGTCTGGTGTAATCCTTTCTGTAAGCGTAAGTTAGGATTTTGTGATTTAAATCATTTTGGTACCCTTTTAAAAAAATTTTTCCATCTTTCATTGTATTGTTTTAAGTGAAATATTAAAAAAAATTCTACAATTTCTGTGAATATTATTCCATTTAATTAAGTAATAAAGAAAGAATTATGGAATTTAGGTCAATAAGTTACTTGCGAGATACTGGCCGGGAGTGCCGGGCCCCGGCCCCCCGTCTCAAAAAAAAAAAAAAAAAAAAAAAAAAAAAAAAAAAAAAAAAAAAAAAAAAAAAAAAAAAAAAAAAAAAAATATTCGCGAAAAAACGCGTTTTTTTAGGGTTATTTTTTAGTAAAAAGATGTTCTATGTAGTTAACCCCCTTTAAAACACCGTTTTTTTCTTAATTTAAAGACGACATGGAGGATTAACTTTATTTTATCGAAAAAATTCCCCATTGTCTTCCCCATGTTATGCTTATTTTTTTTCAAAGTAGATATATAACTGTTTGTATGTTATTTTTGTGTTTATTATTCATATTGATCAATTTGATAGTAAATAAGCCTAGAGTTGATATATAAGCTGATATAAGCGTAATAATGAAGTGATTTCTCCTGGCACTCTCTGGAGCGGGAACACTACCCAGTGTTCCCAGAAGGTTCCTGGGTTTTCTCAAGTTTACGGATAAGCCCCCCTATGTTTTATATGCCAAATAGTCAATTATTATATTAGAAAGAATAATGCAAGAAAAATCGATAAAAAACAAGGAAAATTTTCCAAAATATATATGGGCTGTGAGCAGACTCGCTACCCATATCGCGCTCACCATACATGATATAAATGACTATAATTTCTCGTAGAAACGTCGTAGAACATTTATTCTGGTACCATTGTGTTGCCAGAGAGTTTAGCTATTTTTCTATATGAATAACTCAGTTTACAAAACTTTTCCATTTTATTTTAGAGCGTGCAAAAAATCAAGAACCCCTCACCAGCATCAAGGAACCTCCCTTGAGGGGATTGGTTCATAAATAATGGTGCATCAATATCATAAATAATGGTGCATCAATATCATAAAAAAAGGTGCACAATATATAAATAAGGGGCCAATTCATAAAAAATGGTGCATCAAAATCAAAATAATTTCATCAAAACTAAAAATGGTGCATCAAATCATAAAAAATGGTGCATCAATATCATAAATAATGGTGCATCAATATCATAAATAATGGTGCATCAATATCATAAATACAAGCAAATGCACTTTCAAGAAAATCAATGAATACATTGAACATTATTACAGAGTGGGTAAAAATACTCATAGTGCCTTTATAATTTTTTAGTGAATGGGTTTTACAGACAAAATTCCTGAAGTTCCATGAAGATCCCTTCCCTCCCAAGTTTCCATGAAGTTCCCTTCATCCTGAAGTTCCATGAAGATCCCTTCATCCTGAAGTTCCATGAAGTTCCCTTCATCCTGAAGTTCCATGAAGTTCCCTTCATCCTGAAGTTCCATGAAGTTCCCTTCATCCTGAAGTTCCATGAAGATCCCTTCATCCTGAAGTTCCATGAAGATCCCTTCATCCTGAAGTTCCATGAAGTTCCCTTCATCCTGAAGTTCCATGAAGATCCCTTCATCCTGAAGTTCCATGAAGATCCCTTCATCCTGAAGTTCCATGAAGTTCCCTTCATGGTGAAATTCTCTGAGGTCGGCCAGTCATGACAATCCATCCCAATCAAACTGAAAAGAAAGAAATGAATGCTCAAAATCCTATTCCCAGTAATTATTCCCAGTGATTATGTACACAGATGCTGTAATTGCACACATATATGATATTTATATACATAAAAATACACCAAAAAAAAGCACAAGAATTACGTACTTTTGACCAGGTGTAGGTGGACACATTGTCATCTAATGTCCACCAGGCTCGTAGGACGTGTCCTGTCCCCTTTTCCTCTTCTTGCTTTTTCTGGCCCGTACTACCTGCATGTTCTTGTCCATTTTTTCAAGGTGATTTTGAGTCACTGCTGAACGTCCGTAGCCAAGTGGTATGTCTAGGCAGCTCCTCTCATACCCACTATTGTACTCTGCCACAGCATGGCTGGCTGCGAAATCAGCTTGCCTCTTTGTTCGAAATAGGGTTTTATTGCAGTAAGACCATATGCGTTGATGTAGACTTTCATTAGGGTTTTGCGTTCTGCCTTTTACACAACGCCGCATCATTTCATCTGTTGTTAGGTCTTTGTAAATATTATGCACCTTCTTCATGTATGCAGGTTCTAACTGGAGCTGTACTTTCATTGTGGTGTGAGATGGTGGGGGAAGGTTTGCTGCTACTGCTTTCTGGTAGAAACACCAGGAATTATCACCTGTTGGGCAAAGGTGATGCTGTGGTTTTTCATCAGTTGAGGAACAATGAAAGAAGCTTGCCATGATACTATTCCTCATATCTTTAACATCATGATTGATCTTCTCTCGCAGGTTCTTCTGAAAGTAGTGCGTCAACTTTTCGATTACAAAGTCGGTCAACATGCCCATTTTCTTCATGGCGAACTCCTTCCTCTTCCTCCCAGTTTTCAATTCTTTCTCAACATATTGTGACTTGACTAAATCTATTAGTCTGTTCTTTAGACGTTTAGCATAGTGATTGATACATTCCTCTTTTTCAACATTTACACCTGGATATGGACCTTCACCATCGTTGAGGTCAGCAATGGCTTTATATGTGTTGCTATCACCATCACTCACAATTGTTTTGTATCTTAATTTATTTTCAAGTGATCGCTTCCACATCATTACTGCTGCTTCACTTTCCATCTTTGCAGAGGTTCCTGAATAGTTTATGTTGCATTCAAGTTCGTGTTTTTTGCGAAATTCTTCATATTTTTCATTAGTTATTTTCTTACTGTTCAAACGATTTTCCAAAAAGGAACACATATTACAGTACTTGCTGAAAATTTGATAATCAACCACTAATTTTGTCAAGGCATCTATAGCAACACCAATGCCTATATTTGAGTGATGTCCCCTTGTGTGCCATGTTCCGTCATACGTTACATCAATATCAAGAATTCCTGCATCATCTGGCACAATATTCAGTTTGCGATATTCTTGAACAATAATGTCTTTAGATTCAGCAAGTATTTTCTTACATGACTCGACAGATTTTTCTGTTATCATAGACGCATATTTATTGTATGTCTCCAGACTGATATGTGGCAAACTACACACTGCATTTCTACGGACAAATGCACGGTATCCACGACCTGCTAACAATTCCCCATACACCATCCTACCAGTTACAGCATTCAGTGTTTTATACGACCTGGGTTTTTCCCCCAACTTATAGGGACACATAATACACTCTAGAACAACAGTGCTCTCTAGATGTTGCTCATAATATACAGGCTTCAAGCTTGCAACACGACACTTAGGGCAAACTACATGCGAAAAGATATCAGTATATAATTTTCTACGATCAACAATCATCAATCTCTTTCCAGTGCTATGAGGATGTATAGTGTCAAATAATGACACTCTCTTTTTGGCACTTGACACCCCAGCAGGTGCAGGTGTTGACACTGGAATATCACTCGCAACACAACTATCACTGTGACGTTCTACACTATTATGAATATCAGTGGTGGCCATGGAGCTGTTGGCCACATCTGTGGTGGCAGTGGAGGTGCTGGCCACGGATGTGGCCACCAGAGATGTGGCCATGGAGATGCAGGCCACAGGAGATGTGGCCACCGGAGATGTGGCCACGGAGATGCTGGCCACAGGAGATGTGGCCATTGAGGTGCTGGCTACAGACGTGACATATCTTTTGGTTTTCGAACCTTTGGGTCGGCCAACTGGACGTCGTGTGGCCACAGGTATCGCTGTTTGTTTCTGCTTTCCCGATCCTCTAGGTCGGCCACGTGAACGTGGGGTGGCCACATATACAGTGGCCGTGGAGGTAGTGGCTGTGGAGGTAGTAGTCGTCATGGTGGCCATGGAGGTAGAAGTCGTGATAGTAGTAGCTGTCAAGGTGACCACGGTGGCCACAGTGGCCATGGATTCGTCTTGAGAGGAGTGTGGTGGTACTAACTCTTGAGAGGAGTGTGGTGGTACTAACTCTTGAGAGGAGTGTGGTGGTACTAACTCTTGAGAGGAGTGTGGTGGCACTAACTCTTGAGAGGAGTGTGGTGGTACTAACTCTTGAGAGGAGGAGTGTGGTGGTACTAACTCTTGAGAGGAGTGTGGTGGCACTAACTCTTGAGAGGAGTGTGGGGGTACTAACTCTTGAGAGGGTGTGGTGGTACTAACTCTTGAGAGGAGTGTGGTGGTACTAACTCTTGAGAGGAGTGTGGTGGCACTAACTCTTGAGAGGAGTGTGGTGGTACTAACTCTTGAGAGGAGTGTGGTGGTACTAACTCTTGAGAGGAGTGTGGTGGTACTAACTCTTGAGAGGAGTGTGGTGGTACTAACTCTTGAGAGGAGTGTGGGTGGCACTAACTCTTGAGAGGAGTGTGGTGGTACTAACTCTTGAGGGAGTGTGGTGGTACTAACTCTTGAGAGGAGTGTGGTGGCACTAACTCTTGAGAGGAGTGTGGTGGTACTAACTCTTGAGAGGAGTGTGGTGGTACTAACTCTAAAAGGAGTTGTGGTGGTACTAGCTCTTGGAGGGTGGTGGTTGGCACTAACTCTTGAGAGGGTGTGGTGGTACTATACTTGAAGGCAAAAGTGTGGTGGTATAAAAATGGTCAGAGCACGTAAAGCAGCAACCTCTCTCTTCCTTTTCTAGCCACTTGACTAACTCTTTCACCGCTCTTCTCCTGTTAGTCGTCGGGATATCTTCATTCTTTTAGGATCGTATGCCAAAAATGTATACATGAAAGGCAAAAAAAAGTGGGTAAGGGTAGACATTTTTCGGGAAGGGGTT